CGGGGGTCCTCTCGCCCCGAGTAGACGCTGGCGTGACGTCTATCTTTTCGAACCTTCTAAGGGGGTCATCGCCTGTTTGTGCCATGTCACCTAGTTGTGCCATGTGTTTGTTTCTCTTCATTGCCTTGTACCACTTGTTTCTCTTGGTCACCTAGACACAGTTGGGCCCATCAATTCCAAGTTGGGTCCCACCTGCTGGAACAGCGCGTGAATGCGAAACACCCAGGGAATTCCTGAATTGTGCGCCACGTTTCTTTGCGCCACGAGCGATGGATCTATCATGATCTATCCACGTATGGCAGGCGCTAACATGATCGATTCTACAACATGCGCTTTGGTTTGTTTTACAACTACAACATTAACATGCTCCAATCATACCGCTGTCCATCCTAATTGCCTCTCTTGGACTCGTCGACGCCGCAACCCATCACTGAGGCCGAGCGATCTGCTCCAACCTGAGGGCTGCGAACGGGAGGCTGAGCAGGTGAAGGCGAACCCATACCCCCCCAACTACTGATCTAGAATGGGAGGGTCACAGCACTGGAGTTGGTATTCTTTTTAATTGTTGTTTCAGGATTCTTCATGAAAGGAGTTGATACGCATGCGTCTCACGCATACAGCCGCATAGCTAGGGTGGGGCCTACAAGCTATTTCTGGGGGTCCCGGCTTGATCCTGCATGAGCTTCACAAGGTATACTGAGACTGAAAGCTGCACATCTGAAGCTTTGACGGAGAACGGGGCGGTGAACAGGGGGCTGACCGAATCCGACCAGGCCTTTTGTGCGATGCAGAAGCTGAACGCCGTGGTGGCCAGTCGACAAATCCCAGCCACCGGCTTTGCCTTCGACTTTGGGAATCGTCTCATTAGGCTGAAATCACCGAGTGAACAGATCTGTGTGGCCTTGTTTTTTGGCGGTGTGCGAAACGAGTCCGCTGGTTCGTTGCGGAGTTGTCTTCATGTTTTTTGGCCATGTTTTTGGCCCATTTTTTGGGTACTGCAAGATGCTGAAGGTGAGAATGTCGAAACACCAGCAGTCAAGCGTTGCAAGATACAAGGATCTGGCCATGGGAGAAAAAGACCTAACCCCCCCGAAAGCCACAGCATACAAGAGGTGCGCCTGCTGGTACTCCCCCTTTTGAGCAGATGGATTCACCAAAGTCCCAGCAAGGAACCACGTAGCATCCCTCCATCAACGGACCTTCAACCGCACCAGGGTGTGCTCCTGCGTGAATTACTGCGACTTTCGAAGGGGAAACCTGGCGGCCATCTTGTACGTTGTCCAGCAAGACGAAAGTAGCGCTGTGACTATACGGCCCAAAGTCTTGGCAGCCTATCCAGATCGGAAGGACTTCTTGAGTGGTCGTGCCTTGGCAAGCATGTTTCAACCTAATTACATATATATATATATATCGAAAGGATTTCAAATCCTGTCACTTTTGCTGTGACAGTAAGACGAACCTGGTTGATGGATGCTCATCCATCCTCCGCATCCGCATCCACGAAGCACCAAACACTGATCCATGATGATCCATGTCCGGAATCCTTTTTTCCAATGATTTCCCGACGTTTGCTCAGAACATCTCAAAACACCCTTCAAAAACCGCTCACGACCGTCTCTCCACCAGACACCACCGGTCCGCTGACGCCGCGCCAGTGATCGCAGGCCCGCTCCTGCCGACGCCCAGCCGGGCACCGGTGAACCTCCGGTGGCCCCGGCAGTCACGCGCGCCCACGCCGGGGCGTTTGCGAGACACGCAGGTGTGGACGGGGCCACCCGGGAAGAAGTAGCATGAAGTATAGCTTCAAACCAACACGAACTTGGGAGAAATGTAGGGGTTCTTGGCAGGTTTATCATGGTTTTATGGTCTATTTTCATATGGGGAAGAAGCACAAGTTGGCCTTTCCGAAAGGATGCGAGAGGACCGGGCCCCGGCAGGCAGATGAAACCGGGCACCCCGTCACCTCCATCCGCCTGCTGGAAGATCAAGCCACCGCAGCAGTCGAGGACAGAACCCAAAGGAAGATCTGCAGGTCACGCGAGGGAATGCTTCGAACCCAATTGGACCCGTCAGACTGCCTCCTCTATGGGCCAAGGAGGAGAGATCTTTGTCCTCCAAAAGGGTGCCATAAGAAATCCACAAGAAACCTGTTCATGCTGCCATGCTAAGCTGTCAACTAGCCTGAAAGCATTCCACAAGACATGGGTCCATGGGTGGCAAACCACCTGAAAACTGCGCCAGCTGGGCCTGCGCGCGCCGATCCCCCCGTCCATCCATCGATGTGGAGTCAACTCCGATGGCAGGACGAGACCGTACACTTTCCGGTCTTGTCTTTCGCCAAAGCTTCCCCGCAAGGCACCTTTCGTCATTACAAGGGAGCGGGGATGATTCTGGCAATTCGGTTCTATAGAAAATCGCTTTTTCAGTTTCAGTTGCTAAGTCCCTGGGTAGAATCATATATGTTGTGTTTCACAGGAGACGACCAAACATGACCAAACGCAAGGACTGTTCCAGATGTGGGTGATATTTGTATTGGTGTTTATTTGGAGCTTGATGTCGTGCTAAAATATTCCATGGGTAGGTTAGCTCTGGAAGACTGACTGATCGTGTTGGAAGGTTCTTGTTGAGGGCTGCACCTGGGTCGCACCAACCAACCCGGTCCGGGCCCACTATGGGCACTCTGTCTAATCGTTTTTTTCCGAACCTGGTGAGGTTGGATGGTTTCCATCCCTTTGTTCTTCTTTCTTCAGGTACCCCAACACTGTGACGGGGAAACATTGGCTGGCAGAGTAGGACGTTGAACCCCCGTAGGTCAACGACCCCCCGCATATGTCAAGATTCCAGTCCTGTCTGGAGATCGGGAGCGTCTGGAGCATGTCTAACCCAGAGGCCGGAACTCACCCCAGACCTGCCCAGTAGTCTATTCTGTTCATTTTCCTGTGGTCAACCAAGTTCCCCCTAGCTTTGACCCATTGCCATTGCCATTTCTGCATATAGTTCGGTATTTTGTCAGGTCGCAAGCAGTCTCCATTCTTCGCACCCAGAAACACAGTCGAAAGAGTCGTTCGTGTCATCTCTTGTGTGAGGTTGAGCGTTGGAAGCGTTCGGCGCCTTGATCAGCCAAAGGGTGCTGACATCCAATTCAATTGCGAGATGAATTGAGCAATTGATTGTTGCAAGGACCAAAAAGGGCTGTATCTTGCGGTTGGGGACCGTCCGTGCTGGAGAAGGGCAGAATTGTGGGAGAATTGCGGATTTAATTCCTAGACTTCGTCCATGACTGTATTTTTTCTTTGGCTGCTGTGTGTAGTCGCAATTTCGCCAGGATGTACTTGGAGAACTTCAGAACCGACACCCCCAAATACTGGCTTTTGCCACAGATCTCACGTTGGAACCGAATCAAATAGCTGCCAACCACGCCATGTGCAGTTTCCACCTCTTGGTACCTCGTCACAGCACATTGCGGGAGCTTTGCCAAGGCAAGTGCTGCAGACGTTGCTCATCATGTACCGCTGCAGCAATCGAGTACTGGCGGAGCCGGAGGAACCGGAAAACCTCGCTGCTGAACAACGAGGGGTTCGTTTCCTTTTTCCCTTTTTTTTTTTAATTTTGAAACGATTGAGCTCAATGGGAAGCAATTCATCAAAACGCATCTTTGTCATTTTCTAGCCTTGGTTTCTGGGTTGGATGTTTGTTTTGACATCAAGACCTATATACAGCTCTAGGCAGGATCCTCACAGAGGGGCCTGAATTTTGAATGTTGACGTTGCCAGAAGCCACCAGAGAAATCTTGAACCTCGAACACCTCCCAAAAGATACCTGCAGAATCATCAGAAATCTAGGAAGAGTCGAGCTCCAGCAAGTTCTGAGTCAAACGCGATGAAGTGCACAATGACAAATTGCCCGGTATAATTAGCTAGACCTATGTAATATAGGAACCCACACAGATTTTGAACTTTGCACCCATGGAGTTTCGAGCACACAACTCACTTCAGGAGAACTTCGTTCTCCGCGTGGAAAGGCTCCTAGCAAACAACTCAGTGAGGTGGGGTGCGGTTCCGCGCAACACGCGCAGCTCCCTGAAGGACATGGGGACAAGAAGCTCAACCAATACGATCCATGTCGGGAGCAGCCAATTAGAACAGTCTGGAGTACATTCAGAGCAAGAATTCCGTCAAATACAGTGTTTACATCTTTTTTTACCGATGCAATGACATCGACGGCATCGCGATGATGGGGCCGGGTTTCTTGGCTTCTCACCACGCGAGTCTCAAGGGATTGTCTCGCCAGGTACATTCTGCCCTGGCCTCGGATGGTTTGGAGCGGAGTGCGAGAGTAAAGGCAGGGGTGACACCATCGGTGTCTTGGCAAGCTGGATCGACATGTAAAGACACATGAATCATGAAAATCATAAGGACAGAAAAGTGTAGCAGCTCGTATAACGTCGAAGTTCACGTACCACGGTTACCACTGATGCCTTTGGTTTTTAAGGCAGCAGCAGCAGATGACCAAGCAACCCGAGGCTCTGAAAGCTTGGCCCATCGCGGTGAATAGACACGAATGGACACACACACACACACACCGAAGGCGGACACACGCGTCGTTTCCAATGCTAGCTAGATGTTTGTCCAGGGCGCGGGCGTCATGGAGAGTATGCTTTATGCTGATGCTCGGAGAGGCACAGATGGCGCTGATTGTTTGGTGAATTCTCCACGCCAGCAACATGCATCAGGTTTCGGATCTGATTGAGGGTCCAAGCCCAATGCCAGCCTCCGATTGGCATCGTTCAAGGGTGAACACCTCTGTGGGGTTCGAGCTGAACGAGCTGAACGAGCACCCAAAGATCTTTTTTTTTTAATCAAGTTGTTGATTGCATATTCTATATGTTGCACAACTCTTTGCAAGCACATATATACGTTCATTGTAGTTCTCCATGTTTGTGGGGGTCTTCAGGATCGCGTTTTGCTCCAGGTCGAGCAAGTCAGCTGGAGGGCCAGGCGCTAGACCAGCAGAGTTGGCCAGGAAATGACCATCGTTGCTGGGGTGGGCGCTGAGCCCGAATCTTTAAGATCTGTAACTCTTAGCCCAGAACTTCAGAAGATTCTTCTCCGATTTCTTTCTGCCCCAAAGCACTCCCACCCAAAACCTCGCCCAACACACCGGGTGTCGTGTTTTCTTTGCGCCAGGATGCAGACCATGGGCTTGGCATCCGCCCAGGCAGGGCGCGTGGACAGTCCCTTTTCAAACGCCGAGCTCGCAACGCACTTTCCTCGTCTTGGAGGCTCTAAAGTCCTCCTTTTTGAGGCTCCAAAGTCAGAAACTGACCGATTGTGTTCGAGAACCGGACCTCGGATTCATCCGCATTCCCGAAATTGCAGACTGAGTGAATCGCTTGAAAATGGAGGTTAATGAGTTTATGTTGTTTTTTTGAATAACTCACCATTTGAGGCGAGTTTACCTTTTGAGGCAGTCTCTTTTTCGTCCCTCTTGGCAGCTAGGTGTGTCCATGTCGGAAGTCTCGGACAAGCGAAGTGACACCTCCGAAAAGAGGCGGATTGCAATGGGTTTAGGGTGTAGGGGCAGGAATCAACAGCACAATATGAAGATGTTACATGTGGTCACCATGTTGTCACCTAAATCACTAAATCCAGAAGATTCCTGAGGAGATCTTGCACATCTTCAAACTTTACTAGCAAGAAGCGCACCGAGCGCACCGTTGTCCAGTAAGCAATCAAGGGTGGCCACATCGGGTACATCGGGTCTTCCCGTCCAGGTTGGACGAAACGCGGCGCGTCCTCAAAGCTCCCTTCTTCAAGTCGTGGGAGGACCGGGGGTCGACCGATGCTGCGCAGATGGTGCCTCAAGGCACTTTTTGGGGGATGGATTCCTTCCTTTGTGGATTGGAAAAGATGGTTCAATTCTGAGGATTTCATGGACTTTGACAACAACTACAAGCACAAGAATCTTGGACAGTCAGCGAATTGCGTGATGTTGCGTGATGTTTAGAGGCTAAGTTTATCTAAGACACATGGCTTTCATGGCTTTGAGGCTTTAGGTTGAAGACTCATGACGCAGCTACTGAGGATTCCAATCACTCAAAGCGAGCTTGGGTCTCGGACGAGCCCCCTTTGACAGATCCATGAGCGGCCTTTGCTCTTCAATCAGTTGTGGTCGGAAGGAATGCCGAGATGAATTGGGTAATTGGCTTCTGACTATGACCACATGAGGATTCTGCTTTGGCCAGATATTTTGTGGAGAACTAAGTACTATATATAATTACACCTTTTCTATCGCTTTCCATTTGTCCTGCCCCCACCGAACATGCTAAGTTTCATGCTGCTGCTCGAAAAGGAGTCGCAGAATATGCAAGGCAGGCAATGTTTGCTGCAAACTCCAGTCTATGCTCACTGGTGATGAGCACTTGTAGATGCATTACTGGCATGGGTCTATTGCATACTACGCCGCTGCCGGCAGGTTGGGACATGTGTGTTGACCGCAAGGAAATCAAGGTTGCAAAGGCCGGTGATGGAAGCGGGTCTTCTTCATCCAGCTGTTTTATGCAATTCTTCTGGTGGGAGTTTTCAGCCCAAGAGGACAGAAAGGGCAAGCTTGCTCTCAACCAGACTCACCGACCAGAGATGCGTTTGTGAGAGTTCCTCAAATGAAAAAATAAACAAGAACCTTTTTTGACCTTTTCTGTGATAGCTCGCATGCCTGCCTCAAAAGGTTCAGAAGAGGCAACACCACTGGCCTTGAGCATTTCGTTCTTTTTTTTCCTTCTTTCCGGCGCGGCAGACGTGTTCTGCCCGTTTGGCTTGAACACGACGTGCCAACACCACTCTCGCCAGACCATCCAGACGGATGGCTCGGGCTGCCTCTTCTTGAGGGCACAGAGCCTTAGAGCGACAAGTCAGCGGAGACAAGTCAGCGGATCAGCACCGGCCATCACCGACCACTGTCGCTGTGTGTAACTTTTAAATCTAACTATTTTTTTTCGTTTGTTGGCTGGTTTCTGGGCTCTAGCCTAGCCAACTACTCCGGTCAGGAAGAGAATCATTGGTGTCTTGAGCACTATCCTTTTCAGAACGCACGACCAACCAATGATGTGACCAGAATCTAGTGTCACTCTCGGAAGGGTCGACTCGAGGCTTGGTCCACTCTGCCAGATGCCGAGCTGCCAGTGGTCTTCCACATGTTCCACCGATGTGAGAAGCGCATGCAGTGCCTTGGGCGGCAAGGGGGGGGTTTCGGACGGGCCCCCAGCGGTTGATCCATCGCCCACGAACTGATCCACGAAGAAACAGAGGACTTCCGCCCCGCCGCGAGGTGGGACAAGTCGTTCTTTGAGATGAAGGTCGTCGATGAGATCGAGGCGCCTTATGAAGACGCCGACGAGATGGTTCGGGGTTCCAGATGTTCAAACACACCCGACAGCACACGAAAAACCGTTCACTTTGCAGCACCGTCGCGCGCGCGAGGTCGCTGGTTCCGAAACAGCCAAAAGCATCGGAGACATTCCGAAGCCCCCAGATCAAGCATTCTGGTGTTTTTGTTTCTCTCTTGTTTTGTGTTCAGAAGGGGGATCATTCATCTATGCTTATATCGCCAGAGCGGCCAGAGCAACTTCCGACCCATCCTTCCACAGCTGCGGGGGATGGTCCCTTACCTGACCGGACTTCCATAGCCCCGACCATCCGCGTCGCGGTCGGGACGAAGACCAGACCACCGGGGCCGGACCCGACGTGTGGTCGACGCGAGGGTTCTGACATCCTCTACAGCGTCCTGCGAGTTCCGGCGGTCGTGGCCACCCAGTCTGAACACACGGTGGAACGCGCGGTGGAACCGGAGGCCGTGGCCACCGCGAATGGCCACGGCCGTTCGGTGGTGGGGGCCAAGCCTTAGAATCCAGAAGCCACTGGTGATGGACAAGAAAGATTCGAACAGCAACCACAGCAATCATAGGAGACTCATGTATAGCATTGTATAGCTCTTAAATGATGGGGTAAGCCATTGATGGCAAACCCAAAAATGAAGCAATATGAAGCAATATATTGTATCTTTCCTTCCACAGTACTTGGGGAATTGAACTGAGATGTGCCGCTCTCCTTGCCTCAGTCCGCGTTGAATCATGAATCCATCCTCACCAACCACCAGCGTGTGGAGTTCTTCGATCCACACGCCCCTTCACCGCGCCCGAACCGCGCCCAGTGCTCCTCTCGCGACTACGTCCAGTACCGCAGGACAAAGGTTTTGGAGGACGCAGCGGTTGAGCGGTTGAGCGAGCGACGGAGCGACGGGTCAGTGGAACGTGACCGCTGAGTGACCGTTGGCCACACTTAGAGACATAGAATGATATAGACATTTATAAGGTGCAACTTTTTCAGCTGTTTTCTGTGTTGTTTGGCGAGTGAAAAAGCAAAAAACGTGGAGAGCTTCATCAGCAGTTAGTTGAGAACTGTTGAGAACACTTCCTGCACACGTTTCTATCACACTGCAGCTGACTGCAGCTGACTGCAGGCGTTCATCCATTTGAGTCCAAGTCCCCAACCGCCTCAGGATGGCACGATCCTCATCAGCCTCCGATCGGCTAACCATCCGGAGCTGCCAGAGACCAGCAAGCCACGGGGCCAAGTAGAAGTCGGCGGCATGTGGAGAGGCTATTGCTATGAGCAACTGCCAAAACCTCTGAAGGCAGCATCACTACTGTGGAGATCTGTGGAGACTAAGTAATGTAAAATGAGGGAAACCTTCAGGAACGAGAAGGTTCACAAGAAACACGATAAGGTTTTAGTACAGGTATTTTAGGTGTGTCCAAACCCTCAGGAACGACAAGGTTCACCCAAAAAACGTCAACGTTGGGAAGAGTGCGCACTTCAACACAAAACAGGTTTTGCACGTTGCTCATATGTTGCAATGGGAAAAAATCATCGAGTCATTGACATTGACTCTTATTCAATCTAACAAAATAGTGCTGTGGCGCCATGATGTCATATGATGTCATAACATCAGTTGCTTGCAACAATTTTTTAATGTTCGCTGGTGCCTTTTCATGCACTCACCCTATCGATATGATCAAGGGTCTGCTGTGGCCAAATCGTGAGGCACGTCCGTGCCGAGTCATTTACCTCTGGCTACGTCATGCGACGCTATGATGATGGGCACCGGACTCAAAAAAAAAGCATCTACATAATTGTTTGTTTAAAGAACAGAGTCACTGCTTTCATCTGCTTTCAGACAAGGAACATACATGAACGTACCATCCCTCGACCAGCCCTCGTCTCTAAGGAACGAGAAAGGCACAAAGGTCTTCTTGATGACTTGCACTGACGTCAAGGAGCGGAATTGTCAGCTTACGATGCTTGTGTTTTTTTTCTTCAACTAAAGTCTATATATATCCATTTGACTGGCTGATGCCTGAGGGCATCATCCCCAAGTGGATCATCAACTTTGTGGCACCTCGCAAGCCCGGCGAGTGGATCGACTGCCTGAAGCGTGTCACTTGGATGGGAGAGGATGGGAGGGTGAAAAAGAGCGAAGGATGGAAGGGGCGTCTATCTCGACTGTCTCATCAAGACTTGATTCTGGGTGATGGTTTCAGGTTAGATATTGAATACTTTACTTGGGATGATCGAATCCAGTGAAAAAACTTTCAAATCAGTTGAAGTCATCAACCAGGGCAAGTGTGAAAACATGTCTTCGCGAAGTGGGAGAACCTGAGATGTTGGGGGAACTCCGGAGTTGCATGGGGTAGTTATTCTACCGCAACTGGCAGGGCACCATTTTTCACTTCCTTCTGCAACAATCCCGACATCACCCATTTGGACCCACCGGGCGGTTGTCGCTTTTCTGTCGGGTTGTGGCGGCGGCGCGAGAGCCACACTTGCAAGGCTTGCTTGGAGTACCAAGCCAGCAATCCTGACTACGAAAGCTTGCTGAAGGTTCTCAGCTCAGCCGCCTGGATGTTTCTTCATTTCTTCATTTCATCTGAATCTGGGAAACATTGATATCACAGACCTGCGCCCTTCATGAAAAGCAACATCGCTTTGCCATCGATCTCCGTTACGGGACACGCGTAATACGCGGCCACGCTCTCATCCCTCATCTCCTCAAGCGCGTTGCGATCTCGCTCCGCCGTTTGTGGCGGTTCTGCCAGGAGCTGGAGCCGTTTAAAGAGTACCATTCCTTCGACTTCGAGGCCCGTGACAAACCGAGTCAAGGCTGTGCGGTACCTGCGTACCTGTGCTGCGTATCGTCAGAGCTCTAAGCTGATTAAGCTGATCCTGCCCAGGTCTCAGAACATTCGAAACCAAAGAGAGAAATATTAAAATGGAACTGCACATCTCTTTTTCCGATTTGCAACCGTCATGTTTATCGTCTCCAAGCACACATTGCTCATGGTGGAACTGAAGAGAACAGAACCAAAAGATGGATTGACGTGGTGAAAACACGTGGTTCTGTGATTCTTCACCAGGACATGGATGCGACCGTGACCCACGGAAAGAGTGGCAATGAGGAGGCCTGTAGTCATGTCGGTCTGCAGCGGAGTCCGAACTGTGGAACTGTTTGGTCTGAATTCTGACACACAGGATCGAAGGTGGATCATAAGTCCATTCCCACGACCTGTGGACATGTGTCCTATTACATCTCTATATATATGCTATTATTGTGCTTTGAACTTCAACTTAGAGGGTCAGTTATCAACTTGTGTGGAACACGAGCCGCATTGACTTCGAGGAGGGTCCTGGTACGTGACATGTTGAATTTCAATGCTCCATGTTTTTTTTTTGTATTGATTTCTGACCGATTCTAATGTCCCTAGGTATAGTCTATAGTCTGGTGGTCCTCAATCATTGTTTGGAGGATTCGGTCAACTACTGTTTGCAGAATCCTCATCAGATTCGCGCAAACAAACCGCGAGCAGATCAATTGCGTCTGGAAAAAAGATTGAAGCAAAACCACCCCCTACAGGTCAGCTTGACCTCACTGGAGTTGGTCATCCAAAAGCGCAGCTACAAAAAAGGGAGGTAAGTTTGATCAGGGTTTTACTGGGTCAGACGGTCAGACTGGTAGGGACCGGAAAAAAACACCCGCACGAGTCGGTTTCTTCTACAAAGACCCAATGTAGAGGACTGGTAGGGACCGAGTTGTCTTCTTCAGATGGACGAGTGTCGCGAAACGACGCGTCGAACGTCAGGCGACTCGCATACTTCTTTGAGCGGCGAACGTCAGGCGAGTGGCCGAGCTGAAACAAGACTTGTGTACGGCTTACGCTAGTATAGGATCTGAAGTTGGTATAAGCTTATATAAGCTTGGTAGAAGAATGTATAAGACCTCTATTTTGGATGTTAGAGGATGTTAGAGGTGTGTAACAGTGTAACACACTGAAACCGTCGCCAAGGGTTGTCATTCTCACCTCCCCGGGAGTCCTTGAGGGCGGTAGGTTGCGAGCATGATGCTCGCGGGGTTCATGGTGTGGTCGTGTCAAGAGAACACAATCTCCTCCATGTCTCCGAAAAAGAAGGCGAAGCCGACGTGCATCTCGGTGCCCAAAGCTCTCGGTCCACGAATCTGCAGACGAAGACGGACGAAGACTGGAGCCTTCACAGCGATGTTTGAAAAGCGAGCTCATCTCCGGAGTCGCGATCCAGCGACCGCGACTCTCGTGCCTCCCCCCTTCCTGACAGGGTCGAGTGCCAGTGTTTGGCCAAACGGAAGCACCATCGTTTCCCAAAGAAGTGAGGTTTTTACACGTGAGAACATCCTTCATGTGACAGAATGCGGACCGGGAAATGATCAAGTAGGTCGGGTGTCCGTCCTAAAGACGTGGAACAAAGTAGGTCGGTGCAGATGTAGGTTGCCGCCCAAAGGGCGAATGCAACAGATCCTGTCTCACCAAGATGGAATTTTTGTGTCGGTCAGTACCGATTGGCGGCATGCAGGTGCAGGTGTTCACCGAGGACGGGAACGCGAGAAAAAGCCTGCGTTGCTTTCCCAAATTTTCAAATCTCATGGAGATTGTCTCCATTTTGCAATTTGTTTCTCTGACCATCAGAGACTCTGACCTGGGCGTTGTTTCTGGTCAAGGCCGTCATTTGTCGACACGTCTTAGACGCTGATGCTTCTCTTTTTGCTCTGTCGTTCGCCAAGATCAGAGAACAGCATGACGTGCATTCTTTCGCTCTTTCACCAAAGGAGGCCATGTAGGCCATGTATACGGAAGCACTATGAAGCACTTATCGTCTACAGTATCTCAGGAGTTCGTCCGTGTTCAGCTGTGTTCCATCTATTCACATCTACTCACATTTATTCACATGCATACAGTTACAGTTGCATTCTGTTACAACTGGTGAGTGCAAGATAGTTGATAGTCTCTCATTGCCACTTCTGGCAGGACATGAACTCATGTTCAGCAGTGCGCAAAAGGGATGGAATGGACAACAAGCTCTCATTTGACTTTGCAGATTTTTGTTTGTTACTGTATTTTCATACGACAACAATGGTGGTTGTTGGGGTCAAGGCTTTGGCCTTATGCTTTATACCACTTCCAACCCCGAAGAATGCGCCCCATGCCCCCTCTGCAGATTCAATTCAAAGGAAGCCACCAATGTTCCTCGACGACCCGACGTCGTTTTCAGGTTCGGCCTCGGAACTGGGTCTGTCGGCCTTATCCATATGCCACTCGGCTCAAAGTCCTGTCGGCTGGTCCGGCCTGGTGCAACTGGTGCTGTCAGGCGGATGAAGACGACGGTTGTGGCGTGCATGACTTATTCGATACGTCTGTGTATCCCTACCCTCGGTTGGGAGGCGAAAAGGACTCTTCGGATGGTTGAAACAACTTCGCAATTCGGAAGTTTCCTTCTACCTTCGGATCTTTTGGTTGGCGATCATGTTCCGATCACGAAAAGAACCTCACGTGTTCGGAACCATTCGGATGCCGCTCCGCTGGGCCCGGCGAGGAGGCCGCCCATGGCAGAGGAAGAGGCCGCCGTAGACGGGCGCGGTTGATACGGCGGCGCGAAGCAATCCAGGTGGAGTGAAGCGATGGAGTGGAGAAGTGGATGGAGTGAATGATGGTGAATGCTTTTGAGGCTCAGATAGTGGTGTTGCATCATTTTACGTGTCGTGGGTGACACGAAACATGTGACTGAAAGGTGCGACACAGACATAGAAGCCTGCCACAGCTGGTATACATCTTCTATCATCTTCTTGTTGATCTCCAACACATTTCGTGGGAGGACCCTACTATATAAGCCTCTCTGGTTGGGGGTCTGACCCGTCCCATCTCCTTCTCGTCGGCAGTGGGCTGCGCACGTGCGCACGTGCGCTCGACGTACCTCAGGCGGCAGAGGTCCCTCCCGAGCCGGTGCCCTCTCTGACCGATGCTCGGTGCTATCGCCGCGACCAAGAGTCGCTTTCGACCGCCGCCGCTTTTGGTGGGTTGGTGGCGGGATGGTGGGGGGTTGGACGACTTTTTCGGAGGTTTTAGACCTGGCCGGGCGTTCTAAAGGCGCGACGTTTTTTTGCGCTGGGGATGCTTTGGGGAAACAGTGGCTGCAAAATCAGAGGTCCAGATGTGGTTTCACACCAGGGTTTTGACATGGGGGACGCTGGCTTAACAATACTTTGCCCATGCTCTCCAGCCCTTGAAATGATGGATAAAGATGGACATGATGTTAATTGATGATATGACATAGATTGACCATGATTGACCACTGCTCTTTTGAAAAGCTATATCATCCCTTGCCGTTGATACTATAGAATCGATTCTCAAGGTTCACCTGTAGTTCCAGAGCGGATGTTATATCATTAATCATCAACTTGCCACCGTTGACCAAGCGTGTCCGCCCCTAGCTTGCTCAGGAGGAGGACATTCAGACCCGGCTAGGCATCTTCGAGGAGATCTTCAAGGGCTATGACGCACTCGAGGCACGACTCGAATCAAGAAAAGAATGCTTTTGTATGCATTTGCAGTAGTTATCCTGGTTTCTTAGTTGGTTTCTTATGAATTTGTTGCATTATTTTGTTGTGCTAGGATAGTCTAATCTCTTTTAAAGGTGAAGGTTACACCCTCTGGACGCCCTTTTTTTGGGGGGGCATGAGATTTTGTACTTAATTTAAGGTTGCTCTCTCTATCAGCATGTTTGACAGGTCAAGCAGAAGTCCATGGCGGAGCGCCGTGAAAAAGAGGCGCTGAGCCCTCCAAGGCAAAAAGAAAACCAACATCCACCACCAACAAACCACCAGTCATTGACAGGGCACATTTGCTGTGCCATGGATTTCTTTCGGAATCGTTTGCCCCAATTCTCTGAGAGACTCATAGAGACTCCATCCAATTCGTTAAACTCGCCACCGCTGAGTCTGAATGAGATCACCACCTTGTGACACCAGGCGCCACCGCCTGCGGACGGTGAAGAAACCGAGCAAGCTCCAGTCGAGGTGGGACGCCGTTTTTCGGCGTTGTTCTTTCTGTTTTTGGACGACATGCGTTTAATGCTTTTTTACACGGGTCAATTCTTACTCAGCCTGTCTCCGGCTTGAGAGATCTGAACAGAAGTCGAGCTACACGATGTGTGGCTATGAAGAGAAAACAACTAGACGACGAGTGGCCCGAAAGCATTTTTCATCACGTAGGAAGTCAGAG